GGGAGGGAGTGGGGGATGGTGCTGAACAGACTCTCCTGAGGTTCTCTGTGGCTAATGCTCCTCCAGTTCCCTGAAATCATGCCGCTGCCAATGTGCTTTTCACCCAGCGGTGGTCTGCGATCAAAGGAATATGGATGCAACGGCAGGCAAAACTACAGGCATCTTAACACGCATTCAGAGCACAGGAGCTACCTCTCCTTAGCATAAGCCCAGTGCACTTTCTTATCCCTGTGGCCAGTTACCTCCCCATGTGAACTCTGCACTCTCATTGACTGCATCAATACTGCTAATTCCCAGGGTCATACCTACCTGCCTGCGTGCCTTTGCTTTTATTTATTTTTCCTTGTGTTTCAATAAAATTCTCACCCTTCCCAGAACTCTGAATGTCCAAGTCGTATTCCTTCAAATCTCACCTCAGTGCCTTTTACCTGAGGCGTTTTTCAGGCCCCCAATACTAATGACATCTCACACTGCCAAATCTCAATTATACTAAACCGGGGGGGAGGGGGAGAGCAGGGGTGTCCCTCAGCCCATCCTGCACCCTCTCTAATCTGGGACCCCTTGAGGGATATTTGACTGCCAGGATTGGGCCTAAACGGGCAGTCAGACATCCCTCTCACAATCTAGGACTGCTGGCTCCCAACTGCTTGCCTGCCTACCTTCCTGATGGTCTCTAACCACTTCTGTCTGCCAGCCTGATCACCCCTAACCACTCCCCTGCCAGCCTGATTGATGTCTAACTGCTCTCCTGTTAGCCTGTTTGCCCCCAACTTCCCTCTTCTGCCAGCCTGGTCACCCCTAACTGCTCTCCTCTTCCAGCCTGGTCACCCCTAACTGCTCTCCTCTTCCAGCCTGGTCACCCCTAACTGCTTTCCTCTTCCAGCTTGGTCACCCCTAACTGCCCTCCGCTTTAGGTTTGATCACCTCCAACTGCCCTCCCTTGCAGATCTGGTCCCTCTCAACTGCCTTCCCTTGAAGGCCAGGTGCCTCCCAACTGCCCTCCCCTGCTAGCTCTCTTGTGGTGGCCACCTTGTGTCCACATGGGGTCAGGATCTTTGACCACGTGGGCAGCCAGCTTGTGTGTTGGAGTGATGGTCAATCTATATATTACTCTTTTATTACATAGGATAGAGGCCTGGTGCATGGGTGGGAGTCGGCTGGTTTTCCCTGAAGGGTGTCCCGGATCAGGGTGGGGGTTCCCTTGGGGCATGGGGTCGCCTGGGCAAGGTGGTTTGCAGGCTGGTCATGCCCCTGGCAACCCAAGTGGAGGCCCTGGTATCTGGAATTTATCTTCTACAATTGAAACTTTGTAGCCTGGAGCAGGACCAAGCCTTCTGCTGGCTCCATGGTGGCAGGGGATTTATTTACCTCCTGCAATTAAGTGGAGCCCTGGGCTGGCCAGGGTGTGTGGAAAGCTTGGCTTCCTCCATCATCTGGGAAACCCAAGCCTCCCTCCTGCATTCTCTGTGGCCTCAGCCATCTTGACTGGGTTAATTTGCATACTTGCTCTGATTAGCTGGTGGGTGTGGCTTATGGGTATAACAGAGTGATGGTTAATTTGCATATTATTATTTTATTAAGTAGGATACCTTTTTAACATTAATATTTGTTTATCTTAGTCCCCCACTGCAGTAGGAGATCCTTGAGAGTAGCAGGAACTGTTTCTGTTTCAAATCCCTCTAGTTATCCTGTGATTCATTGGACATAAACATTGCATGTTGCACTCAATACATGTGTATCCAAAAATATCCTAACAAAGCTTTTATGGACTTGATATTGGGAGAAAAAGTTACTTTTTTTTTTTAATTTCTAAGACAACAGTTGCATATAGTAGGTCTTTTTATATGAACATGGAAGTTTATTTATTTGACAGAATCTCATTGAAGTATTTTAAACTCTCCTTAATGGAATGACAGAAAGCCTAACTAATCATGAAAGCATGAAGCATATACTTTTTTGTATGAGTTTTTTTAAAATACACATCACTAATTTTGTCAGGGATGACATTTTATAATTTCCACAGTACAAAGGAAATAACTGGTTGTTATTGTATAATGTTTATTCCCAGATGTCTGGCATTAGATCTTCCCATGAATAATAAATAAATTGAGTATCAAATCTATCAATTTTTCTACCATAAAATTATTCCCAAAACAACATGACAATGCTGCAGTGACTGATTATCCCAAGCCACGCTTTCGAAATTGCCATATCCTCATTATAATTAAAACCACATTGAGGCTCATCTAAACAAGGAGCCTGACATCAGGCCAAAACTGCTGGAGTGGTTTTCATGCGGATAAATAGCCTTTATGTCTGTAAACTTAACAGCCATCGTGCAGTTCCTCACCACGTTATGCTGAGGTGGTGGAAGTTTTTTTCTTTATCAGTCTTTCAAAGCCAACCAAGTTAAACCTGATGTCAAAAACAATTCAGGGTTTCGAAATCACAGTTTGAGCAGCATTGGTATCCTCACAGTAAAAATGAGATCTGTAAACACATTTTTGTATTATAGATCAGTAATTTTGCTATTAAATATTGGTTCAAATAGTTTCAAATAGTTTATCTATAGAGTCTATAATTAGCATGTATTTGTCTGAGATAAGATTGGATAAACCTAGAGCCTCGGGGAATGGGTAATAAGAGTACTGTTTACTTCTTCCCTACCCAATTAGTACGTTTTAGGATTCATTTCTGTTCAAATCTTAAACTTCTTTCCGTAGGCTGCCAAAGCCTCTGAGCTTTGTGATGGACGACAGAATATGAACTATGACAGATGTTTACACCTTCATGAAGCTGGGGGACGATAATGAAATGTGTTTAATGCAGGTTATTCTGATGTTGTTCCTATGTTTGACACTGCATAAATGATTCTAAATTGCAGTTAAATTCTCACATAAATTATATGTTGATTTATTTGCCGAATACAGGAATGTCCTTACTCATAAGAAAGGTGATACCTGAAGATCAGCTCAGGGTGTGGATTTGATTTTTTGTTTATGACTTTTACCCAAATCTCAAACTTTTGAGATCATCTTCCATGTTAAAGCCACTAGGTATCAAATCACCTTTTCTTCTTTATTTTTCACTTTTTAAAAACTCGCTTTCCAGCCGAGACTGGTTTAGCTCAATGGATAGAGCATCGGCTTGGGGACTGAAAGGTCCCAGGTTCGATTCCAGTCAAGGGCATGTACCTTGGTTGCGGGTATATCCCCAGTAGGGGGTGTGCAGGAGGCGGCTGTAGGGGGAGTGCAGGAGGCGGCTGGTCGATGTCTCTCTCTCATTGACATTCCTAGCTCTCTGTCTCTTTCCCTTCCTCTCTGTAAAAAATCAATAAAACATTTAAAATAACAAAAAAAACTCACTTTCCTAATATCTAAAAATCCACCTTTTATTAAATTCAAAATTATTTCATTTACCATCATAAGTATTTGTGATGAACACCCAAGATTTGCAACATTATACAATAACAACCAGTTATTTTCTGCTCCTGAGATGAAATCCAAAAGCTATATAACTTTTTAATAGCTCAAATTGAAAATAAATTAAGCAGTACATTATTCCAACGCTCTGCTTTTCATTTTCATAATTGGAATTATAAATAGCATAGTGGCAAGAAACTGGACTCCATAAATCATTAGCTGTTCCTGTGGCCACCATCATTTAAGCTGTATGGACTCTTCAACTTTATGATTTTTAACTTGTGAGTCAGTGGGTATAAAATTAAGTCTCACTACTAACAAAGTTCTAGGGCTAGGACATACAATAGGGCTAAAACATAAAAAAGGATCCATAATGACAGCTCCAGATCATATTCTATTAATTAAAGGATATTTCTATTCTACCCTTTGTCATCGCTATAATTACTCCTCCTTACAGTGGGTGCATCTTAAAACCAGTGTGGCCAAGCAGCAGTTATAACATTGTTGTCATTGATAATACATGTGAGTTTAACTGGCATTAACCAAGTCTATTATATTTCTGCCCAAAACAAACAAACAAAAACAACAAAGGACTATTGAGAATGGGCAATATATATAAGTCCTTCCTCAATTGCTTGCTTAAACTTTTCAATGGCGTCTTCTGGTGCCATTAAGAATGCAGCAGCATGAAAACTTAAAGGTGGGTACCAGTATTCTGAAAGAAATACTGCAAGGGAACACTTTTTTAAAGAAATCCTGCATCATCAGCTGCCACAAAGATAATACTGACTGATTGTTAGAAGAACACAAACTTTAATGGGTGTGTTAAACAGTGACTAGAAAGATTTGGATTGTGAATATAAAGAATTTTTAGGAATACCTTCTCTTTTAATGTATGATAAAGAGTGAATTTCTTAAAAGCTATGTAAACAAGTCATACAAAGTTATTTCAGTAAGCATACAATAAAAATTAGAGTTGATAAAAAACATTGTATTATCATTTAATTTCTCTTTGGGACACAGTGAAATATATTTCACAACCAATGACATCTTAGATTTCAAGAAATACATTACCATTACTGTATGGCTTTTTCTGTAATGCTATGGAAGATCAGTAAGCATTAGTTGATTTTAAAACTTGTTTCTAATCACCCTATAGCCTAACGTATTAAAATAAGCAGAACTTTAAAAGCTGTAATTAAGACTTTAGGTTTGGGGGGTAACCTTTGAAAACACACTTGGTTTTCTCCATCCACAGAGTCTTAATGCCCATGTTTCCTCTGGTCAGCAATCACATAGGTTTCTCTGGAAAACATTGTCCTCTCTCTCTTTGAGGTCCTCCATAAAGACCCCAAAACAGAGTTCATGTACAGCACATATTTTATGCTTTAAGCCACACCACACCACACCAAATAAAGTAAGGTTCATAGGTAATTTGCCTTAACAGTGTGCTGGTCATATGCTTTGTGCTATATATAAGTAACAGATGTCATTGTTATTGTTAATTTCAAGAAACAGGAAGTGATAAAGTTTCTGTTGGCACCATATCTAATCTGCTAACATTGTTCATTTTTATAGGTGGAACTCACTGTCCAAATACCAGTGCTTTGCAAGAGGTGCGCAGCTGTAACGAGCATCCCTGCACTGTGTATCACTGGCAAACGGGTCCGTGGGGCCAGTGCATTGAGGACACCTCGGTATCATCCTTCAACACAACTGCAGCTTGGAACAGGGAGGCCTCTTGCTCTGTTGGCATGCAGACAAGAAAAGTCATCTGTGTGCGGGTCAATGTGGGCCAAGTGGGACCCAAAAAGTAAGGGCTTTAGAATGTCAACCGTAAATCCTGTGGCCAGCCACGCAGGGGATTGGCTCAGGCTTCACTTGCCTCATGAAATAGAACATTTCGATGCTTGTCATATCTGCCCTCAAGAGTAAGATTTGTTTGTTTTGAGCGTCAGCCACTGATAAAGTTATACCAGCTTCAGAGTCTTGTGCCCTGGGGTCCATAAATTCTGTAGAAATGTTTCTGGGTGATACCTGCTTTCAGTTTTATGGTAGCACTTTCTGCTCTTATGAAGCTGGTGAGGCAATGAAAGAAGTGCTTGCTCTAGGCCTGGCTGATCAATAATGACAGGAAGCGAAGTCCTAGCAGTGTAGGTCATCCATGACTTCCTATACACCGGTAGGCTACGGAGACTGCCAATCTAGGTTAATTGGGTGGTAACCTTCTATGATCTGCCTTTCATTTCCCCTAGAAAATATATTTTAAAATACTGAGGCTGAACTGATTATGTCTTTTAATTGTTAAATGAAGCTATTTACATCCAAGAGAGAGTCTTGGGAGAGGATGAGTTTTATGATAAGTTTCTTACTGTGGTTACCAATAGTGTAATAACAAGGTGAACAGTTTGCTAAAGGGGAGGACAAAAAAAACAAACAAACAAACAAAAAAAAAACCTAAAAACTAAAGAATTGGAATATGTGCCTTGTGAGAAATATAAGCAAAAATGAGTCATGACATAACTGGGCTAATCATTCTTAGAGAAAAATTAATAAATCAATTCTAAAAATATAATCCTTTCAAGGGAAACTTTATCTTTTGAGATTTAGATATCACAGGTCTTTTAAAATTCAAACTATCTTAGTCATGTGAAACATTAGAAGTAAAACCAGTCAAGTTTTGCTTTGGTATAAATGGCTTCATGAGTTCCAAATTTCATAATTGGTCAGCTGCTTAAATATTAACTGACTGTGGCCTGTTTTCAGAGTTTACTGAAAAGATTTAATGGAAGAAAAATAGTGCAATGTAAGCACGTAATAAATCTTAAAAATAATTTTCTTTTAAAAATTTGAGCTACTTTTTAGTATTTCAGGGAAATGAAAATAATGTACCTGATCAATGAAAAAGCCCAAGGAATTTGTAAGGCTCCCCTTACCAGTTTATTTTACCTGGCCAGCATCCCACACATTAGGGATATTTCACCCCATATTTTGTTTATGTAGTTTGAAATTAGAAAACATATGGCAAAAAGAGTTGACCAATTGAGAAATTATTTCACATGCTTACCAGGTAGCTCCAAACCAATATTTTAACCAGTTAACTGCCATGTGTCCAAAACAGAAACCATCCCACTTGCGGTTATGGTTTACAAAGGATCAATAGAAATTATGCTAAAGTTGTGATGAATCTATCAAAGGAAAATAATGTACTGTGTTTTAAAATGTAATAGAGTAACAGCAGGGGCAGAAACCCTAAGTCCTGGAGGATTCTGGGTCTTGCTGGGACAAGCACAGAGGTGGAAACATTCACTGCAGAGGGTTCTGTCATGGCACAGGATAGAGGGTTATTGTGCTGTACTTCTAGAGTAAGCTCCTATTTTACAGTTAATCTCCTCTCAAATGTTGCTATTGATGGTTTCCTCACTTAAGCAAACTACAAAATATTTTGCTGAACAATGGAAGTACATGTGTACAGCATATGTGTGAAAAAGCCCTCTGGGTTCCTGTCATTAAATCATTCAGTAGGGAGGGTATCCTGGAGCCCCATGTGGGACCACAGCAATCCATTAAAAATGCGCTTTGCCCTTGCAGCCTATATGCAGTGACCTGGATACATGGATAGATTTGTTAAATCAAATGGATTTACTTTGCCCTTACAGTTCTGAAAAAGTAAGCAAATACTGTAAATTCAAAAGAAAATGTTATTGCCCTTATGCCTAAATGCTAGATTACACTCCATAAACGCTTTTCAGCACTAGTCATTTGAAACAGAAATGCAAATAGAAACCTTGTGTTCAACTCTTAATAAAACAGATTACTGTGCAATGGTAAAATCAATGCTATTGATCTCACCTATCCTCTGAGTAACAAACTTCAACTCCTATCACATCTGTTTAATTTGACCTTGAATAAGATTTGGGGGGAAATCAATTCCTTGATTTAAGCCACAGAGACAAAATACAGACAGTACAAAAGAGAGAAGAAGTGCGATGACTGAACCAATTGCCTGCCAAAGGAAGTCTGGATTTATTTTATTGGATGTAATCTGGGTTGTATAATTTATCTTAGTATGTTCACGGAATGGGTTTGTTGTTAGTAATTTTGTTCTCCACAGTGAGTCAAGTATCTTGCTGTGGATATATCCAAACAAAAGCAAAATTTTGGAGGTTGACAATGATAACATTATAAATTCCACTGATTTTCAGTGCTAACATTTTAAGAGCATGCAATTGAGTAATGCTCTCCCATGGTCTAAAATTGCCTCGTTGAAAAAGTGTGCTTCCAGTGATAATTACTAGTCAATAATTTCATAGTTCCAAAGAATGAACAGGATTATACGTGGGATTTTGCCATATAATGTTTCCTGGTTAAGAATGAAGGTTAAATTATAATTCCAGTGATTTATAGTCTCAATTGCATCAATACTTTAACTTCTGTGGTTCACAGCTAAATTTCTTTGTCATACACTGACTTTGAATAGAAATCATAATTAGAAAAACACAAGCTTATTCTTAACATAAACCAGGGAGATTTATTTTTTTTTTTTTGAAATGTTGAATCTTGTGTGAGAGAGGAAAACATGTATCTGAATAATTGAATGTAACATAAATAATTATAAGCTATATAAAAAATGAAGCATCAGTAAGGTGCTAGAAATAAATTATGGGAAAAAGATTAATGATTTTTTTTTCCCACTCATAGTTCAGTTTTGAAAACCTGATTAACTTACTTGTTAAAACACAATCTATCTTAACCTACAAAAAAAAAAAAATGGCTTTTCCCCAGGGGAATATTTTTAAACCCCATATTTCACTAATTTCCCAAGTTATTTCATCAACAGTTTTACTGGTTGTTTGGTTTATTTCTTCAGTGATTCTTAGCTTATTTGTTAATGATTTATATGACCTTAAAAGGGTTTTTTCTGGGTATCATAACTTTAAGTTACATGAATTATATTATTATATTCCGTTGTCTTAAATTACGTCTTCTAATGGTAATGCTCACAGACAACATTTGACTATTAGCAATACCAGACTCAGATTGTAAAGGTGCAGACAAGGGTTGGGAAATTTAAAAGTCATCCAGTAAGTACACAATAAACAAGACAGTATATTTAAGACATATATCAGCTCCAAAAATATTTTTTTCAAAAAAATAATATCGTAACAAAAAATGTTTAAATATTTTTATTTTATTCCTCACACAAGGACATGCTTTTATTGGGTTTAGAGAAAGTGGAAAGGAGAGGGAGACAGAGAGAGTGGAACATTGATCAGTTGCCTCCGGCTCACACCCCGATGGGGGATTGAACTACATATGTGCTCTGACTGAAGATTGAACTTGTGTCCTTTTGCTGTACAGGATGATGCTCCAAACTGCTGAGTCACACCAAATATTTAATGTTTTGGCTAGGCAAAACTTTTTAAAATTCCATCATCTGAAACTAAAAAGGTAATGGAAGAAAAATGATACTAAATGAAAGCAGGAATGAAGCAAAAACTGTTTATTATCATAACTTATACACTTTTATTATTTTATTATTTATTATGAAATATATAGCTATAAATACAACTCTTTTTTTAGCATGTATTGGGTATAAATAGGCTCCATTATAAATTTGTCATGCTATACATTTTTGTAAAAATAAAGTGCAGAATAACCTGAAAATCTATAATCCTATATAATAAAGATGTAATATGCAAATGGTCATTATGCTGTGAAGCATAATAACAACCACTTAATGCCCGGATCACAGATCAGCAGTTGGGTGGGGCAGTGAGCTACAAGTGGGTGACAGAGAGCTACAGGAGGGGCAGGGCAGCAAGCTGTGAAGGGAGGAGGGGTGTTGGGGGGAGCTACAGTAGGGTGGGGCATGCTGAAACCGGTTTGACTCAGTGTATAGAGCCTCGGCCTGCAGACTGAAGGGTCCCAGGTTCAATTCTGGTCAAGGGCATGTACCTCGGTTGTGGGCACATCTCCAGTAGGGGGTGTGCAGGAGGCAGCTGATTGATGTTTCTCTCTCATCAATGTTTCTAACTTTTTATCTCTCTCCCTTCCTCTCTGTAAAAAATCAATAAAATAAAATATATTTAAAGTATGTATATATATATATATATATATATATATATATATACACATACACACACACACACACACACACACACACACACAGTAGTGTGGGGCAGTGAGCAGAGAGCTACTGGCGAATGGATTTGTGCACAGGGCTACTAGTTGACAATAAGCCTAGTTAGTTATACAAAGATGTAAAATTGGGTCCTTACATTGGTAATTGGAATTCCACACATTTTTTTAAAAGCATGTTAGAAAATATAAATTTATTAATGGGTAAATTATTATAAAGGAGTATGGTCTAATTACTACATTTTGTCCTAGAAAACACAATTGCTATAACTAAAAATCACACATCTTGTTTTGAGATGCTTTACTGGGGCCTGGTTTGGAAGAATGTAGTTGTATAATTCTTGTCAACAGCAAAGCTAGAAGTTAAGAGTGGTGATGATTTAGCAACTTTAGCAATGAAAAGTCTAACCATATTAAATTACCTGGTTTGCAGGATTACCATGGAGACTTAGTGATTTCTTTTGGTTTTCCCCAGGTGTCCTGAAAGCCTTCGGCCTGAAACAGTGAGGCCCTGTCTGCTTCCTTGTAGGAAGGACTGTATCGTGACCCCATACAGCGACTGGACGACGTGCCCTTCCTCATGCGCAGAAGGTATGATCTGCAGGTTCTGGAGGTACTTCCCCTAGAAGACCACTTGCCAGCGCCGCTGAGTTCTCACTAAGCAATGTTTGTGATTCTTACATGGGTTGTGTAATCCTGGTTTAACATGAATCCCATAAAATGTTGGCTTCTATCTAGAAAATAATATAGCTTTGCCAAAAGAATTAGTTTTATGTCAAAACTGACTTAAAACTTTACAATATAAGTAAAAGTGAAAGAATTCTAGGTGTTGTTATATTTAACAGCTATACTCGTATTTTCCGGCGTATAAGACGACTTTTGAACCGAAAAAAAGTCAACCGAAAATCGGGGGCAAAAGACCAAAATTGCACAAAAATCACCTGCAGATCTTGACGACAAATTAAGTCTTTTCTTTGAAGTGGGGGGTAGTCTTATACAGCGAATATAGGCCTAAGCCTATGTTTTAACTGTAAAATTAGGGGGGTCGTCTTATACGCCGGTAATAAAAGGGTTATATGCTAATTAGACTAGGTAGACTAGATATCTTCCGGACTTCCAACTTCCTTCCAGACAAAGCCTAGGTGGCAGGAGCCTCCGAGGCAAAGGTGGTTAGGGGTGATCAGGCCAGCAGGGGAGCAAGCACTTAGGGGCGATCAGGCTGGTGAGGGAGCAGGATCAGGATGGTGTCAGGGAATAAGTAGATAGGGGCTAGATCTGGCCAGAGCAGAGGAGCAAACAGTTAATGGGTGAGAACATTCCACCGCAGGGGAGCAAGCAGTTAGGGGCCCCATAAGGCCAGCAAGGAGGAGTAAGAAGTTAGGGGACCATGAGGCCTGCAGAGGAGAGCAGTAAAGGGGCAATCAGCCTAGCAGAGAAGGAAGCTGAAGGTGATTAAGCCTGCAGGGAAGGGGGCCAGAGGAATGTGATCAGCTGGAAGTGGGCACCTGAACAGGTCAGTAGGGGCATGTAAGTAGCCAGAAGAGGGCACATCCGGAAGTGGGCAACTGAACAGACAGGTGGGGGCTCTTGAACACCAGGAAGTGGGCACCGGAACAGGATGGTAGGATCATGTGATCAGCCAAGAGTGGGCACCTGAAGGGACAGGAAGGGGCTCTTGATCACCAGGAAGTGGGCAGGTGAAGAGAGGTGGTGCGTCAGGTGATTATGTGAGTTGTTCTGCGAGGATGGAGGCGGGCCCACGTGAAGATGGGAGGGATGTGGGCAGGAGCCCCAGATGCTGAAGAAGTAGGAAGGACCCTCCTCAGAAGCCCTTGGGGGGAGCACAGCCCCAGACACCCTGGACCCAGAACGGGGAAAGCCTGTGTTCCTGTTTCTTTAAGCCAGTCTGTATTCATGGGAGCAGCAGCCTCAGGAAATTGACATCTCCTTGACCCTTCTCTAGGGGCTTGGCTGGGTTCCTGGGACAGCAGGGGCTCACAGGTAGATTCATCCCTGTGTGTGTGCCTGGGCCCTGTCTCTTCCCCCCCATCTCTTCCCCCCCACACACCCCACCCCTGTACACCCCGGGGTACTGAGGCAGTGACAGTGCAGTGGGCACACCAGGGCAGGCTGCATAGTGGGAAGTGCAGTTGACTTGGCACAGGGTCTCCTTAGGTTTCTGTGCCCCAGGCTGTAGGATGAGGCACAGTAATCCAATGTCTTGCCCTTACCTGCCAGGCCTTTCCCCTAATGAGTCCAGTCAGGGGCTCCCCTTTTTGAAGCAGGCAGATTGACAGTAGCCAACAACTGGTTTATATGCTGATTCTAGATGCCAAAACTGAGGCTCAGAGAGGGACAGCAGTGAACCCTTGCCGCGGCCCACCTCCCAGTCAACTCAGCCCAGCTGACAGGCGGCTCCACCAGGGTCCAGGGGTGCAGGGCCACATGATCAGACCAAGTGGGCACCTGAGAAGGGGGCAGGTGCAAGTGAGCATCTGGAAGTAGTCCTATCCTGAGGGGGCAGGTGAACAGGGTTCGGGGCTTATGATCATCTGGAAGTGGTTACAGCTGGAAGTGGACTCAGAACTTGGGGAAAGGGGCTGTGATCAGACAGAAGTGGACACACCCAGAAGTGGGCACCTGAACAGATCAGTAGGGGCATGTAATCAGCCAGAAGTGGGCACATCTGGAAGTGAGCATCTAAATATTTTGCCAGGGCATGTGATCAGCCCAAAGTAGGCACCTGAATAGGGTGCCAGGGGCATGTGATCCCCCAAAAGTGGGCACCTGATCGGAGAGGTGGGTGCTCTTGATCACCAGGAACTGCGCTGGTGAACAGTGGGGCAGAGACATGTGATTATGCGAGAGATTTTCTGTGAGGATTGAGGAAGGCCCACATGAAAATTGAAGAGATGTGGCCAGGAGCCCCCAGAAGGTGCAGATTTAGGAAGGACCCTCCCCTGAAGGCCTTGAAGGGAGCATAGCCCCAGACACCCTGATTCTGGACCCCCTGCCAGCCTGCTGGCCAGTTGTTTGGTCGTCCCTTGCCAACACCCCTGCTGGCCTTGTTGCCCCACGCAGCCTGCTGTTTGGTTGTTACTGTGAGGTCGTTGTGACCAATTTGCATATTACCCTTTTATTAGTATAGATGTATACTGCCACTGCTTTATATATTTCAAAAAGAATATACAGTGATCTTATCAGTACTCATAGTTTCCATCCCACTTATCACAAGAAATAGCATGGCACCAAGTAGTTTCTGTTCAGATTCAATTATACGAACCCAAAGGAGTAAAAGAAAGAGGTCCAATAGTTGGAGTGAGGGAAGTATTAGAGGAAGGAAAAGAATGAGAGATTGAAAATCCAGATATATATGTAGATAGTGCTGTGGGTCCAGGCGATGATAAAAGGCATTTGGGAGGTCAAGGTAGGGATAGGGGGAGGAGGGTGCTAGTTTCTTGTGAGTAACGGGCATGTGAGATGCCATGGTCTCTTGGGGGTGGGCAGGTTGCTTCTCTAAATAAAGATGCATGTTTCCACTCTGATACCATTCTCCCCTGGAGATCCTGGCGGGGTGGGGCCGGGAGGAGCTGTTAGGAGTACAGAAATGCCAGCTCAGAACACTGCTGTTCTGGGAGCTAGAGACTCAGAAAGGCTTGAGCACAGGTCATGTCACCAGGAGCAGGTCAGCCCTGCCCATTCCGTTTGGCATTTCTACGGCATGCTGATTGAGTCTCCTATAGCAAAAGGCTTTTAGAAACCCTTAGTCTCCGCACTCAGACTTAAAAGGAAGAACTGCAATTGTGTGTTGAGGAAATAAAGATTCGGGGGGAGGAGAGGCTTGCTGTTGGACAGCAGTGCCAAGATGCTTTGTTTCCTGGAGAAGCCTTGTCTGTAGAGCCCATAGATTGCTGTCACTGAGAAGAACGATACAGTGGTGTTAGAAAACTAGCCTTTTGTTATAAGGAAAATAAAGCATAGCGTGTGGTTAGTTTTTCTTTATTTGGTATGAAATGGGAATGGTCCAAGGTTTTGTTGAAATTGCACTGACTTTCTCACAGAATTAAAAAGCGCAAACAAGTTGAATGTTCAAGGATAGATAACAGCCACAGGAAATTAATTCCGGGGTGGGTGGTTCTTTTAAAGTTAGTTATGCAGGTGAAGTCTAAAGTTTATAAGAGTTTTGAATTAATGAACGTGTGGAGCTAACCTCCTTTTAAAAAGTAATTTAAAGAGGTAAAATTATGCTTTAGTATAGCAGAAAATGGAACAGAATAATGTAGTATCCCAGCAAGAAGAAAAAGAATTATTTGAAATGCTGTTCAGCCCTCTCTCAAGATATATCTTGAATGCAATAAAGACCAGAAATTGAGTAGAGTACTTAAAGCAGTGCACTTGTTAACTTTTCTAAAATTTTCATAAACTTTACAAAGGGTTAGTTTTTAAAAATAGAAACCATTTATACATATAAATTATTTGGAGCTCCATTCTTTAAAATATCATTATTTTTTGACAAAATAATACATTTGCTGCTTAAATTCTATTCACTCCCCCAATTCACACTACATTTATTGAATTGAGAGCTAGAAGGGATATTGCAGAAACATCTATTCTACCTGGTGCCTTTAACCACTACTGCCCTAAAATTACCCCAAAGATAGGAAAAATACCTTTACATTTTGCTTCTGAATGAAACATTTCTTTTCCAGTTTCTTACCACTGTGCTCCTCCATCCTGCTATTCCTCCCACTTCCAGCTTAACAGCTCTTAGTTTTGCCTGCCTTTTAAATTCTTCCCTCAAGTTATTTCTCCAGTGAAATTCACCTTGAATGTCTTAAAGCATCTGAAAAGTGCTGTAACTGTGTGAGAGAGTACATTACCCTCTGAATCTATGTATCCCATCATCACATAATTGTTTTCTGAATATGTAATTCATTTTTTATCCTATTCTTATCCTACAAAGGTATTTTCCAGTATAAACATCACAGGAATATTCCTTTATTTCCCCCAGGCTCCTTATTTCCAATAGACAAAATGATACCTTGTTTTTTATTAATCCTCAATGTGCAGGCTTAGTCCCCAAGTTTTTACTACTATAAGGAAATGAATAAGAGAAATAGAACTTGTTAATAATCCAGTTGAGAAGAAATGAAATTAGTGTGTTTTCTCATTCAGCAAATATTTATTAAGTCCTTGCTATGTATAACTGTTGTTCTGGGAGCTAAAACACAAAGATAAATGGAAACTATATATGTGTATTAAAACACATATAGTAAGCTGGCTATAAGTACATATAGGAAATTATGAAGATTGTAAAATTTCAGTTTGTCAGCTCAAATTATTAGTGGAGATCCTTTTTTTATTTTCTTCTTTTTATTGTGTGCCATAGCTCTCCTTTTGTCTGTACTTTGATCTGAGAGCTCTATAACCTGGGTGAGCTTACAGAGCTGTTTGAGCACACAAGTAATTTCTTAACTGAGAGCTGAGAAGAAATGAAGCCATGGGTAGAAACATGGATGTCATGGCACTTCCTGTGTAACCCCATTAAACTTCCTCTCTACATGTTATGGCTTTGAAATGTTTCACATGAATCAGGTCACAATCTCTGTCCCCATGGGCTGCACAAGGTTAAGGTATTTGAACTTTTTATAAGAATAAATAGATTGCCAAGATGGAATCAATTATGGAAGTGAGAAACAGTTATCGTAGTCTTATACATTAAGTACGGACTATCGTGGTTGTGTTGAGAAGGCCCTAGAATATTTCAGAGTTGTACATTAGGTGACGTTTTTGCTTTCAAGTAAAAATGAGACCATAACATTTGATTGCTGCCTCCCCAATCTGAACAGCCTTACCTATTTCCCAGGTGACAGCTAGGGGTTTTTGGCCCAAAGCTTCAGTCTGTAAGGTGCCCCTGATGCTGAACTCATAGTCACCTGCTTTGTCTGGATCCCTTGTTCCCAACTCCATGGCTATTGTCTATCTGCAGGTTGAGAGGGTTGAAGAATGGGAAGCAAAAGACCTACTCCTCTGTATTCTTTCCCCCTTTTCCCCTGTTATAAAACAAAACCTCCTTCCTTCCCCCAATACTAAACAAATGATAAGAATGGTCATTTAGTGTGTATACTCTTTTAAGAAGGTTAACAACAGATTATAAACAAAAATAATAATAGAAAGTGTAAAAGGATGGAGTCAAGTAGTAAATGAGAGAAGAAGAGAAAAATTATACTATGAAGTTAGAATTAAGGTAAGCTACTGCAATTGAGAAGAAAATTAGCTCTGAGATTCTGGTGAACAAAGCCAAAAATAGAAGCACTGTTGATTCTTAACTGATTGTCAGGGGAAACAAAATTTTTCCAAGCTCTAAATTATTAGAGGAATCTCTCACCTGGGCCTTAAAAATGGGATTCATCGGACAATAAAAATGGATGAAGACTACATTAACAATTTTATTAAAAGTCCTATTGGCATTTTTTAGATCTTTCCTTTGATAACAGATTTTTAATGTGTAAAAGTTGGAGCTAGCATTCCAACCACTACTGTTAAACTAAAAACATCCATGACAGCATTTTCAAATACTTGAGTTTTCTGCGACTCACTACCTCCACTCCCTTATTCCCTACTCCATTACCTGTAGTATTCCAGTTATTTACTAATATAGTTAATATAATCATTAAGCGTACAGGTTTCCCTCACAATAGGGATAATCCTAAAAAGTTACACATGAACCATACAATCTGAAATTGGGACAAGGCACATAAGGTTGTCTATTCTAGTAGATCTTTTTAAAAATATATATATTTTATTGATTTTTCAAAGAGAGGAAGGGAGAGAGATAGCTAGAAACATCAATGAGAGTCATCGATCAGCTGCCTCCTACACGCCCCCTACTGGGGATGTGCCCACAACCAGTGTACAGGCCCTTGACCGGAATCGAACCCGGGACCTTTCAGTCCACAGACCGACGCTCTATCCACTGAGCCAAACCAGTTTCAGCTATTCTAGTAGAATAGCCTGGGTATTCATCACAGTTCCCTGGCAAGCTTTGTAAAAAATCAGACTTTTAAACTCAGCTGCAAAAAAATTTCGAGACATGGTTTTGTTTTTGTCTTTTTAAGGAAATTATCCTATGCAGTCAGCCACTCAGGGGTCACTAATTTGGTCCATTCTCACATCTAACACGGGAATCTTCAATCCACATTGCTGGGAGTCAGTTGTCCAGACCACATTGAGGGATACCTTAACTTCATGAGAAAGGATATTTCATTATCATAAAGCTCTAATTGTCAAATCATATTTTTCTACTAACATAATAACTTGAAGAATGTTTCATCTCATTTCTGGTTAAGCTTTCATTGTTCAGGGCTGCTAACTCTTCTGAATTTCTCTGTTCCTGTGGTCTACACATTAAGTACTTAATGATCTTACAAAAAATTTAAATGCATTGTGCCAACTCCATTAAAATAATTCTCTAGGGTATTCTTTCCTAAGTGAAATTGTGCCATGCAGCTATTCATCTCTAAAGTGTATTTATTGTAAGTTGGAATATATTTTTATTAAAGTTGGCAATTCTTATAATCATTTGTTTCTAATTCTAAAAAAATTTTGAGATAATACTTTCAAGTTTATCTCTTCATTATAAATAAATCTTATTTCCTTTGGCTTTTTTAACATCATTTGGAGTTATTTACTTAGAGTAATGACCACTATTTCAAATGCTTCTCTAAAAATTCTGCCTCCAGGAAGTGACTTTCATTTCACTACATACAGCCCTGATGTTAAAGTGTGACCTGAATTGAAGATCTTAGACTGTTTAACATGAATAATAAATGACTAGAATAATTTATGAGTTATGCATTTCAAATTAAGTGAATAACAAAGAAATAAAATTTCTCATTAAAATCTGGAATATATTCTCCTAAGAAGGATTCATTACATGTGTATGAGTCCCATGTGGTAAACAGGGCTATGTGAAATGGCATGAAAATAAACTTAAGGTAGAGAAAAATAAATTAATTAGAGCTGTCATATTTCTCAAGGGGCAAGGAACATACAAAAGAGCAATTACTTTGCAACTGTGCATTGGGTAGCCTCGTTGACTATGGAACTGTTTTCCTCATTCTTCCCATTTTTAAATAGAAATTGATTGGGTTTTCGATATAAGCAGTCTTGGGGAGAATTTAGGAAATGATTAGGCTAGATGCATCCTCTCATTCAGGGATGTCAAAGCACGTGTAGCTAGAGGCCATGTGCCTTCTTCACACAGGATGGGATTTGGAGAGTCTTTTATCAGTGCAGAGTACAGAGGTTAAAAAGCTGCCTCATTCTAGGGAATTCCGGAGTCAAGAAGCAGTCTCGGCACCGGGTCATCATCCAGCTGCCAGCCAATGGAGGCAGGGACTGCACTGATCCTCTCTATGAAGAGAAGGCCTGCGAGGCCCCTCAAGTGTGCCAAAGCTACAGGTAAGAGGGTAATAGAAAGAGCACTGTGACCAATGCATTGAGCAAAATGCTTCAAGTCCAATGCTATCCTGCAGGCTCAGTGAAGTTCGGGATGTTTATAGCCCGTATGTGCCATCGCTAGCCTTTTGAAAGAGCTGCTCACCTGCTGAAATAAGCTCCAGAGACAATTACATAAATCCCCATGCTGTATTCTTAGCTCCAGGAGTTTGGGAAAACTTTATGTGTTGACGTAAACTCTAAGGAATGCAGAGAACCTGTTAATAATTACGTAAATATATGTTTTAGGAAGCAATTCTTTTTCACTGAGAGGAATTTAGTCTAAGCAGCTGTTCCTCCCAAATGCTGACATCCTTGCTCACAAAGTGATATCTTTATTTCAGGGATGCTAGTGAGATATTGGTTCTATTCTGGCCACCTCAAAGAAAAATAAGATTATTAATGTTATATATCATCATTCTGACAATTATTGGAGAAATTTTTCTTCAGAATTATGAAAAGGATATATAGACCTAAGAAACAATGCGGCATATAATTGCAATCTTGACAACAAATGAAATATTATGGCATCCATTGATGGAATGTGTGATCACAAAATAGCAATTTAGGGTGAAATTGATGGCAGATCTGCCATCTTCATTTATCTGTATTTAGTTCTAACAAATAATAATAATAATTTTGAAAAATAGAATAATTGCATGTTTAGACGGTGAACACTCACATCAATCCAGGGGTCCTCAAACTTTTTAAAGTGGGGGCCAGATCACGGTCCCTCAGAGAGCTGGAGGGCCGGACTATATGAACTACTAATTCCTACTGTAACACCTCGGCTGCGCTCACTGCCCAAAAACCCTGGCGGACCGGATCAGACTCCTCTGCGGGCCGCATGTGGCCCGCGGGCCGTAGTTTGAAGACGCCTGAATTAGACCAAATGTATTTATTTGGCGGATTTGTTTCTGTAAAGTGCATTATAATTGCAGTCTCTGAATTGTTGCTACAACACTAACCAAAAGAACACCATAGAAAAGGCTCACACCATGAATGCAGTTTTATAATATAACCTGAATATAAAATAAACACACCTCTGCTAAACAGAATGCACCACTCTGGTACCATCTGGCACATCCGCTGGCAGTTCCAATCATTAAGAAAGCTAAATGCTTTCTATAGAGTTTATTCTTATAAAACTTGGCCATGTTGAACTGTGTCTCCACTACCATAGAAAGTACTGCTCTGTTTAATGCTGCCTTTTTATAATATACCTTGGAGACTTACATTACAGATAGATAGGGCTGAGCATCATCAAATAAATTCCTCCTTGCAGTCATGCTTCCATGTCGCCATGTCCCTGATTGGCCTGGCATTTTTGCTTCTTCTTCATGAGGTTTCTTGTCCTTTCTTGTAGGTGGAAGACGCACAAATGGCGCAGGTGCCAGCTGGTCCCTTGGAGTGTGCAGCAGGACAGCCCCGGAGCACAGGAGGGCTGTGGCCCCGGACGACAAGCCAGAGGTGGGAGGCCTCGTTCCACAGCTGATTTGCTTTTCATTTATCCAACATCTCTAACCTACCCACAAGTTTGATGAGTTTGTCATTTGGTGCCATGCTTGGCCAATGGAGCAGAGCAGGCATGCATCTGCTTACTACTCATTCTACATAGCACAGAAACGTGTCTTTTTAAATTGTGCCCTTTATTCTTTGGCCTTAGCCTATAATTCCTCTGCTTGAATTTTTCCCTTGCTGATGTCTAGAAGACAATCAGATGAAGCTTTTGAGAGGGTTATGCCACAGATTGTACACTGCAGCTTGATGTTTGTTGTGGTGGTTTGTTTGGGGACGGTGGTCTTCCATAATACTTTTGCTTGTCACCTTCACAATAAGGTCCTTTGTATCCTTGCCCATCTGCATGCAATGTAATATAATTGGTTAAGCTTCCCAGAAATTCCCAGCAATGACATCCCTAACATTGCCAGGGCAATCTCCAATTTTGTTCATAATGCAGTACAGATATTTAAAAGGCAGGTTTATGTACTTCAACCTGCCATTTGTGGACAGCAGTCTGGCTGCACTGCTAGATCACGTGGAATCCTGAAGAAATGAGTGATGGAAATGTTTCCAACTTGCCAATGTTATTTACTGGGTATTATGAATAATACGGACATTCAAAGCTTTGGACTTGTTATTTATGCATGTAACTCCTACATACTTAAAATGTAGTTGAATATGCAATTGAAAACATTGATACCACCTCTCTTTCATTCATAAAGACATATTTTGATCCCTCATTCGTTGTTATATATTTGATGATGCAAAAGTCCAAACATACAGAATAGAATTCCAGCCTTTGCTGCTGTGATCTGGAGCCCATTTTCTTTGCAGTAAGAAGATTGCTTCCCTAATTTAGAAAAAACGAAAAACAAACAAAACAAAAAAACCCTGCTACTTCTTTATAAAAGTCTTCTATTTATATAACCATCATTTTAGAAGTCTTTATTTGAAATATAAAATTTAGTTTACAAATAAAATGACCAACTATGGACTTTTAGAAATTTATTTTATATGTTTACTTTTCATTATGTATCCTCCACCATCAGCTTTAACTAAAAAATAACCATCTCCTTTACAGTTATAGAGATTTAGGTATTTATTAATAGAATTGAAAGTCATTCTCATTTCAACTCATTCATTGAGAAATTGGGTGATATGAGGTTTTCTTGTCATGCCCTCCTAATTCCTCCTTGAATCAAGCACACATTTTTTTCTTGTTTATTTTTATTTTATTTTTTAATTTATTAATTAAAGTATCACATATTTGTCCTCATGCCCCCCTATTCCCATCCCAAACCCTCCCCCCCACACATGTTCCCACCCCCTTACTGTCTGTGACCACTGCTTAGGCTCATATGCATGCACATAAGTCCTTTGGTTGATCTCTCTTCCCTATCCCACCCTCCTCTACCTTCCCTCTGGGGTCCGACAATCTGATCCTGATCGATGCTGTTCTTGTTCATCAGTCTATACTGTTCATCATTTCCCTTAGATGAGTGAGCTCACATGATACTAGAAATACACTTATAAGAACCGAAAATGAGACAAGCAATAATGGTTATTCAAGCACACATTTGCATGTAATTTGGGCCCTACATAGAGTTTATAATGAAAACAGGTATGAGTTTGGGAATCAGGAAACACAATATTTAGTCCTTGTTCTTTCACTAATACACTGCAAGTCTTATTCATTACTTCACATATCTGGGTCTTCATCTATTTAAATGGAAAAAAAAGAAAGAAGAGAAGATTGGATGAAATGATCTTCTAGGATTATCCCAATATTCATATTTTGCAATCTATGCACAGTTAATATTCAGGGATCCAAGTGTGTGAATTGAGATTAGGTAAAACAGCCCATATATTTACAGTCTACCACTGGAGGAAATATGAGATATGGTGGCAGCAGCACAAGTGTGAAAACAGCTTCAGTTCCAGACTCTTTTACTCAACAACTGCAGAACCTTGTTCGTTTATTTCTTCCCTCTGAGGCTGAGAACATAATGCTCCTCAGATCACTTTGCACATGTCAAGTCTCCATTAAATGTTAAATCCTCCCCCCTTCTCGTTCATTATGGCCCCAGTGGATGTGCACCTGGGTCATAGCTGGCATGAAAGCAACGATATTAACATGGGTCTTTTGTAGCTTTGACATGAAGTCTGTATGAGAACTGCTCTGTCTGTGATTGGTAATCTTGTTATCTCCAAATCTGAAAATACCAGTTCATTCTTTATTTCAGGAGGCTGATTGCTTTGTAGTACCTAATATGGTGACCCACTCACATCCACTCACACATGAAAAGGAGTATTTGGCTTCCCCCATGCTTTTCTGATTGTTTCATTCTTGCTTTCCTCTTGCTGGTTCCTCTTCCTCTGTCTGCACTTAAACAATGACTTCTAATCTTGGAATACTTGTCAGATGACTTACTCTTATCTTGGCAACCTTTTCTATGCCCAGGCTATCTGAAAAGAAACATCATTTCTGCATATACTAAGAGCCCTCTTAAACTCCATATGAAGGTAATCTCTGTTGCTTGGGAAATTAACTATTTTTTTCTTAGAACCTATGTTCATACAGAAACATGAAATGGGGAAAATCAAGAGTGTAAAAATATATTTTGCTAATGAAATACTGGCAACATTTTCTTCTTTTGATGGTCATAGCTGTTTTTAGGATTCTGCATGATTCACCTACCACATTCTTGCTATTTTCACCTTTGTTTTTATCTGGTCAGACTTAAGAAGTGCCAACTTGTGCTAATTTTTAATGATTAAAGGAAGTGGGTAGTAAGGATTAGCATCAGTCAGGAAAGACTAGAGAGAAACTGCACCCTGTCCTCTCTGTACACCATATTACCTCATTCCAGTCCCTCATTCAACTCAGTGCATTCAGAAGACTGTGTAGCAAGAGCCATGAGTGTAGGGAAAGAATGAAGATGTTCAAGGCGGGGTGGGGGGGCTTACATTGGGTTAGGGAAGCGGTGTCACAGGTAGCATTATCCAACAGGTAGGAATTAAAGGCTGATCCATTGCAAAACCCATAATTTGAAGCTAAAGAGCTTAAGAAAGAACTAAATGGTAAGCTGAGACCGTAATATTAGAATTAGCAGAAAGGGGGTGGGGGATACAAAATAAGGTCAATTCTGTAAGCTAAGCATTTGAGGTATGAAAAATAAAAACATTAAATATGTTCTTAAAAAGTGGGTAATTGAAGCTCTGAAGACAAGCTGGAGCCCGGGGTGATTTTGTAGAAGGCTATAAATGTCAGGACCAGTATTTTAGGCTTTGTTCAGTAAGGAAGCACCTGATGAAAGCCGTGTTTTATCTGTCAGCGTGTAGGGAATAATTTAGGAGGATAAGACACATAGATCTGGATGCCAGCTAGTACACTATTGTAGCAATGCAAAAATGAAGCAATAGGGTCTCAGGAGCCACAGTGGTGGGAATGGGCAAAAAATAAATGGACTTTCAACATACAATAAAGTAATTTTAGGACTTAGTGGCAGGTGAGAGTGGCAGAAATATGAATAAGCAAGTCAAAGATTTGATTCTTAAACACCAATATTTTTAGTTTGAGAATAGTTACTACATATTGATGGAAATTCTTAGATCTGAAACTAGAGCTGATTTTAGAGAGTGTATTTTGTATACTGTGCATTAGAGGTGACAGCAGGGTGGCCAATTAAAAACATCCAGGTATGCATTTGAAATTTATCTATAGATATAGCTGAGGTCAGAAGATATAAATGTGGGTCAGATTTCCAGAAAGGGTTTTGCCAAAGCCATAGAAAAAGCTAAGGTCCCCCAGAAAAGTGATTATTGCATGTTACCATTAATAGATTTCTTTTCCTATAACCTGTTTGTATTTGTAGAGTGTTTAAGCATTTCTTTTTACCTAAAGAACTAAATGGTGTTAACTTTAAATTACTATTTCTTTGCTATGTCAGAAATAATACCCAATGAATTAACTTCTATGATTCTGAAGGTAGAAATTTTTATCCCATCAATTTTACCAGACCATTGGTCTAGACCAGTGATCCATAAACAATGGCCTGTGTACCAAACCAGCCCATAGTCTTTTTTAAAAATATATATATTTTTAAATTTTTAAAGAGAGGAAGGGAAAGGGATAACGAGCCAGAAACATTGATAAGAGAGAAATATCGACCAGCTGCCTCTTGTACACCCCCTACTGGGGATGTGCCCACAACCAGGGTACATGCTCTTGACCAGAATCGAACCCAGGACCCTTCAGTCTGCAGACCTACACTCTATACACTGAGCCAAACTGGTTAGGGCCTTAGCCAGCAGGACAGCAGAGCTGATCAGGCTCCCGTGGGTTTGAGCAGGAGCTGATCTGTGAGGCCAGCCAGGAGAGAGCGTACTGCCCACTCGGCTTCCATGCAGTGTCCCTGGGCAGCCCAGAGGCCCATGCTATGCCCTTGCCAGTGGTGTCCAGCCATGCTCACCACATTTCCGCGTGGGGACTCAGGCGCCATGACTCAGGCAGAGCAGGGTGCATGGGGGCCCGGGGCCCCAGGTGCTACCCAGAGTCCAGAAAGGTCACCTGGGACCTGCCCTTCCACATCAGACTCTTGCCCTTCAATTGCCAGCCATGCCTAGGGACCACACCCATGCATGAATTTTGTGCAACGGGCCTCTATTGTGTGTGTGTGTGTGTATACATATATATATATATATATATATATATATATATATATATATATACATATATATATATGTGTGTGTGTGTGTATACATATATATATATACATATATATGTGTGTGTATATATATATATATATATATATATATATATATATATATATATATTATTCTAGTGTTTATTACTTTGTGGCACATACCAAGAGTATGATACACAATTATAATAGATTAGATGCTGATATCTCTTATAAATAACTTCAAATTTGCTCTTGCTCAATCTCGGAGTAGTCTTCATGCTT